TCATTAATTCAAGCGATAAAACAATACTCACTATATTGTTACTTTTGTTACTTTTTTTTAGCTCAACTCTTTCTTACTTACGTTAAAGTTATATAAAATCTCTTTAAATAAATAAAAAAGTTATACAAAATTTTGGTTTTATGGACTTTGGACTCTTTCTTACTCTTTTTTTTTAGCTTAACTCTTTTTTTTTTTAAGTTATACAAAATACTGGTTCATTATTATTTTTATCAACACAAAAGTTATACAAAATCTTGGTTTTATGGACTTTGGCTTCTCTCTTACTCCTTTTTAGCTTAACTCTTTCTTATTTACGTTAAAGTTATACAAAATCTCTTAACATTTAGTTATTCAAAATCTTTGGTTCATTATTATTCTTATCTACACAAGCTAATTATTTTCCATTATTTAATATCGGAATAGCTAAATTATATACAATCATTTAATACGATCTTCTTTAAAAGTATTTTTAATAAAATGATTTTTTCTGTGATACCATCTACTTGATATACTTGAATCTACCAAGTTAAACAAAAGTTCATCACCTAATCCCTTGTTTGTATTAGTATATTGTTCTTGTATTATCATGATAAAATCCGGGTTATAATATTTATTACATAAACGAAACAAGAAACTAATTTGTATTATCATGTATTAGTATATTGTTCTTGTATTATCACATAATAAGCTGCATGTGTTCATATTATTTTCTGACAACTATAAACTATATTTAATTTATATTTAGGTTATCCGTGTAGATTGTAATTAAAATTGTGTTACTGAATGGAATAATGGTGGATAATAAAAGTAAAAACAAAGACTCCGACTGATCTTTACTCCAATTCTCAAGATGGTCAACCAATGGCCATCGTGCACTCCACTTTGTTCAATCTGTAACAAAACACAGTCTACTACCACCGACAGTACGAGTTTTTTGTTTCTCTTTTTTTTTAATGAGAAATTGGGTTGAATAACCCAAAAAAAACTATAATCAAAAATCTAACCATTTAACCTAAATCTAATAGATATAATTAGGCCACATATATTAATTTTTATTAGATCTCTAATTATTAATTTTTTTGGCTAATGAGCAAATTAACTTTTCTTTTATCTTTTATAACGAAACCTAAACTAAGCATACAACTATTCCTTCATGCAAAAAGAACCTTTGATCAAACTGATGTTCAAAATAACTCACAAATACAGAGGGAAACTCATCAATTTTGTGAAATTTTGCATCCCCTCGTAAGTAAATCCAGTTCCTAAAACAAACCTTCATGGAGGGCATTAAGATGTGATCATCAATAAACCTTCATGGATCCGTCGTAGTCTGAAGCTCTTGTAAATGAGGCAATGAAAAAAATTCTAAAATGAGATGTTTAAGGAGATTTGAAAAGATGAGATGATAACGACGTTATGATTCCTAAGAATGATTCCATAAACTGATAAGAGATACCCAAGAGACTGAGAGAATTGTAAAATCGTTGGTGATGAACCCTAACGGATGTAAGAGCTAAGAGGAGACGAGAAGGCATAGTCGATTAATAATTTTTTCTCTAATTTTTTTTTTA